ACTTAAATCGCAAATTCCTGACCCATGCAAGAGCTCAATAGAGATGTTGCATATGTGAGGAATTTGCGATTTGACTACTGGTTTTTATGTAAAAGTTCGCGAGAAACACGATGGTGCCACTGGTTTTCTCTGAAATCAACTCCCAAGCTCAAAAAAAGCTCTCAAGTTGAGGCCAAAATGGAGGAGATATCCACATCCCACGCTATCCTGAGAGTCCACCCCTACATCAAGACAAACTCTCCATGCAAAGATAGGGAGGAAATACATTGACAGGGTTGCTGCACTGAAAAAAAAACTCCGGCCGTGGGAGCCGCAATTACGGGCTAAATAGAGATACCGTCAAAGGCCGAAAATTCCGGCTGCTGGAGCCGTAGTTTCGGCCTCTGAACCCGGAGCAATCGAAGTTACGGCTCTAGCAGCCGGAATTTCCGGCCTTTGAGCCCGGAACGGACGGTATGTCTATATAGCCCGTAATTTCGGCTCCCACGGCCGGAGTTTTTTTTCAGTGTGTGTTTTCAGTTTTAGAGTTCCCAAATAAAGTGGCAGCCCTGTCAATGTACTTGTTTCCTATCTTTGCAAGGAGAGTTTGTCTTGATGTAGAGGTGGACTCTCAGGATAGCGTGGGATATCCCCTCCATTTTGGTCTCAACTCGAGAGCTTTTTTTGAGCTTGGGAGTTGATTTCAGAGAAAACCAGTGGCACTATCAACTATCATGTTTCTCGCGAACTTTTACATAAGAATAAACAGTCAAATCGCAAATTCCTGACCCATGCAACATCTTCTTTGGAAGAGAGGGGGGAAGAAATGGAGCTGGGATGGTCAGAAACTAACCATTTGTGGCAATACCTGGACGCCGATCTTTTGGCCGAGCTCGGCGAGTCCCCCGATGCCGTCGTCGATCATCTTGGCGGCCCGCTTGTGTCCGCCGACGAGGTAGTCCAGGGAGTTGGTGTGGTACTCGGTGAGGGTCTTCGTCCCGAACTTGACCATCCGGTGGAGGCCCTTCGTCCCGGTCGCGAGGGTGTCCAGAGAGGCCTGCCCGATGTCCGACGCCGCCGTCCCCGCCTGCGCCCCCGCCGCCGACAACCCGTCCAACAGCGACGATAGGATACACCCGCCCCCCGGCTGTCGCGAGAAATCGGGTTTAGCCAAACGTCAATAATTTCGAGGACGATGTGAGAACGTTGAATTATTCCGGTTTCAAGTTGATAGATGCAAATTTTTAAGAGTAGCCCGAGACAATGATAATAGTGACAAAAACAAGGAGGAAAAACGGGAGACAAGGCTAAAAATACACAATTAATCAAACCCGAGACGTTTCAACTCAAAACTGAGTCATTTTCAGTCGGAAACATGAAAATGACTCAGTTTTGAGTCGGAACGTTTCGGGTTTTATTAATTGTGCACTGAACAAAAGTGCAGTTGATTGAACATTCTGGATGTAAAAAAGTCGTGCGAGAACTTACAAAACGCTGAATTAACTGCTATAGCAGTTACCTACTTTAGCAATGTCAAGATGTTAAACTAACTGCCGTGATGGGTAATTTGACATTTTGTGAGTTCTCGCACACTTTTTTTACATCCAGAATGTTAAATCGACTTCACTTTTTTTTCAGTGTGTATTTTTAGCCTTGTTTCCCGTTTTTCCTCCTTGTTTTCTCCACTGTTTCAAGTTCATCCGAGTCTGCTAGACTCAGATCGTAGCACTTCGAGATGTATTTCATGAGGTAAGTTACGCAAGGCGCGGTGCTCGGTCTGCGACGCAAGTCGTTGCCTTCTTGACATAAAGGCGTAACTACACTCGACGATGAGCCCTGTGGTCTACTCAATAACTCAATACCTTCTCGGGCTCATCTCAAATTGTAGTCACGCCCTTTTGTCAGCCAAGCGACGAAGTTGGCGACCGAAAGCGGAATAATCTCTCATTCAAAGGAAATTCGACGGCGGTCTTTTGACGGCCTGACGGCCAAAGTGCAAATCCACGTATCGCCGTTTGCGACGTTGCAGACTTCCTGCCATACTTTGTTTTAGCTTTGGAAAACTAATCAAGATAGTTTCTTGAGAACTTCCTTGATTTTTCTTCTCAGTTAGTAGAATATTCTGCAGAAATTCCGAGCTATAAAGTTGGTTCGTTTCTATTAAAAATGATAAAATATAGGAGCAGGAATTTTGAAACACCGTGATAGAAATACGTGATTTCACACTTTGGCCATCGATTTTTTGCGTCAACTCACTCTTACAAAAAGCCAAAGAAGCTTGACGACATCGCAAATTTGCAAAGTTTCAACGAAAAATTCATTTATTCACTCAAAAAGGGTACAAATTTTCTTCTATGTCTTGTCGTAAATGTTACGGCAGATTAGACGGAGAAAAATCTTCAAACTTTATAGAAATAAACATAAAGAAATAAGTTCCCAGGAGAAACTTCCAAGCATCATAATGCAAATTTAAATATCTGACTCGATCCTTTTTTGATCGTGTAAATAGGATGTATTTAAATCAAAAGGAACTATCTCCACTGTGACCTGAGCTTAGAAACCCGAAATAATACATGGATATCACAATGGATGAGATAATTTCTTTTGATTTAAATATGCCTAATTTGAGCGTGTCTGTGTTCGATAAACACATTCATGGGGAAAATTCCAGACCACGGAGCTCGGTTTGCGATATAACACACTTACGGTCATACTTTCCTTTTTAAATGGAGACCTACTCAATGACAGTTCTTACAAACTTCCGAGATGTTTCCTCTGTAGAAATCGAATTGTGAAAAATATTCGAGGAATGATATTGATTTGTTCTCCATAAAAAGAATAAGACTGGAGCGGAGATTTTTAGACATCTCGTTAGCGGTGTTTTAAAATATCCGCTCCCAGTTTATTTTTATAGAAGAAAACATCAATATCACCTCCTTGAGGTTTTTACAGAGTTTTTCTCGCACAGAGAAAAAAATCAGGGAAGTTTAAATGATTTGACGTTGAGTAGTTTTCTAGTTAAAAAATAAAAATAAAGTGTGAACGGACAGCGCACAGTGAATCGAATCAATAAGAGAAGTCGGACAAAAAATTGTTGACTAAAACTGCAAATTTTGGTGTCTATTTCGTCACATTTTAAATTTTAGGGGGTGTTTCTAGAAGAAAATTTCACGAAGAAACTGATGGAACCACTTTTAGAAGGTCAAAGTGTTGTATAAACGGAGTTATAAGCTTTTAAAGTTTCCAAATTTTGTCCGACCTCTCCTATTTACTCGATCCACTGTGCGACGGCGCAGATCGAGATACGTGGTGTGGGAGTTTCAGCGTCGATACTTAATTTTTTGCAAGAATTCGCGGTTTTCGAATCGTAAAAATCGGAAGAAATATTTACCAAGGATATAATCAGAGCAAGAGAGGATATTAGCGCCAGAGTAGTCCTGGAGGCCATGATGAGAGAGAAAAGACTGAACTTTTGCGTTGGCAGCCTTTTGGAGCGGAAACCCTCACCACATGTCAGACAAGTGACGCACGTCAAGGTTTCATCTCATCATCCTCAACGATGACTACTTCCGATCCGGGACGAAAATCGCGAAAGTGCTCCCGTGCTAAGGAAGAACACCGTATGAACATTTGAGAGTTGCCAAATTTCCCCGAATAAAACATGGCTTTTAAAAAATGTTATGCGTATTTTTTTTATTGAAATTTTTGGATATTTTAGATTAATTGCGAACAAAATTGTCTGAATAATTGGAGGAAATATATTAAGAATTTTCCCAGGGGATTCGTTTTTTATTGAAAGAAATCTGACAACGCCTGAACGCTCATACGACGTTCTTCTTTAGCACGGCAGAGTAGAATCTCTGCTCGGAATTAAAACTCCTCTATCGGTGCCTCTTCGAAAATGTACCCAGCCGAAAGAACGTAACTAAATGACAACGTTGTGAGATTTACAATCATAAATTGTAATTTTACCAGTAAACTATCGGGCGTTTATCATTGAAAATATTAGGGATTTTTCCTCGGAATACACACAACAATCAACAAAATTTTAAATAAATACTGCACAGCCATCATCCTGTAACAAATTCAATTGTCTGCGTCAAGTTTACGGCCTTGGATTGGGGTTATGTTCATGTCTCCAAAATGCATCCGTGTGCGTGTCGTGCGCACGAATTTTCAAAAGCGTCACGAAGACCGAGGTTTGCAAAAATGAGTCGACTAAGCGGTTTTCCTCATTTAAAAGCTTCAACTTCGTTACATTTCCCCTATGGTTTTTTTATTTTAAAGCGGACACATTTATGTTAAAAGGAACTATGTGCATAGGGTTTACGTACAACATAGTTCCTTTTAGCATAAATATGTCAAAATCTGAATGTGCGTGATCGGTAATGGTACGGACAATGCGTGATCGATGACCCCGAACAAGTAAAGTGCCTTTCGATCAAAATCATAAAAAACTTGGCACTAAAAAACTAAAAGCTTTTAATGTCCTTACGTCGATTTTTTAGACATTTCCTCTTACTAATAAGTCGAATTTTAATTTTGCGAGGCCTCTAATACTTGAACAGAACGATGTGTGAACCTAACATGCCCACATTTCGATGATCTCTACGTTGCATAGTATCCGTGCTCCAAGGTTCATCAGCTAATAGACATTTTCGGTTTTAGCATCGACTGATTCACCTGAGAGTAGAGATTAAAAAGCACTCATTACACTTGCGTGCGAGTGTTCACGCGAGACCAAAAATTTGCGCTGGGATTGGGAAATACAATGTAGTCAAGGAAGGATTTTAAGCACCTAACACGTATTCTCTTTGGGATTTCACGCAGAATGCGGAGGATACGTTAAAATTTTCTCAATCCAATTCATGAAAGACGAATCTCATGCTAAATTCCTCATAACTCAAATCTCACAAATCAGTTAGATTATCTGATTATAATTTTTAGAAGATTTTACCATAAAATAAGTTTTGCCGAGTTCATAACTTTTTTTTTCTTCTTATTTTTTTTTCTTTCTTCCAAAGGACTTATTTCTGCTAAATGGAACTAGAGGCGTGTAGGAAAGATGGGGTGTGCTCGTGGTGAGCTGCATAAAAAACAATGTAAACGTGTGAGTGATTTCTTTTGGTTCAATGGAAAAGCGGGATTTTACATTATGCTAAACGGAACTAAGCGCCAACTGTATGCTAACTCATGAGCCGTGGGCATGGGTTAAGAGTGTTATGGACGAGGCTCATGAGTTTAGGAGCCTTGTCCCCGATCTCGAATCCGTCACCACTGACGTCACTGGCGATTTAAAATCCCCATTCATTCTTACGGCCCTCAACTTAAACGAGCACCACCTGTCTCTGGTTCCGTTTAGCATGCACAAATACGTCCATTAGAACAAAGTAACAGGATGAACTTGTAAAATGTTCTGATAACTCCTCCCCTCTAAATCATGAAGAACGAGCCCAATGACTTCAAAGAGTTTTGTGAAAATGCATTTCCTTTTGCAGAAGAGCAAATCCGCTTTGCGGCGATTTTGAAATAGTTTTAAGGCCGTAAAGCTCATCATCAAAACACAGTCTGGAAGTAATCAAATCTGACTCTTGATTTTTTCTGAAACTGGGTGGATAGAAGTGCTTCATTCTTTCGTGAGAAATTTGTGTCGCGGTTCGTATTTTTTCCGCCACCGGAACATGATTCCGGGGAAAGTCGCTTGTCAACTTAAACGCTAAGCTAATTTCTCTTCCCCATTACGCGAGACTAACGAAGCTTTTCCCGTGGCGAGGAGGGATTGAATTTACG